AAAATCGAGTGGTGAAACTAAAAGTCAAGGGCTTCAGAAGAACTGCATGACCAAAATACAAGTACTTTATGGAGTACCCTGCCACGATACGGACCTGAGTTCGATTCTCGGCTCATGCATCTTGAAGATTAGCTATGATGATATTAGTGCATAATGTTCAAACTTGTGTTCGTTACAATATATCATTTAAATTTATAGATTTCACGAGTAACGCTATGGAGCTTTTATTTTTTAAATCGAGAGGTGAAACTAAAAGTTAAGGGCTTCGGAAGAACTGCATGACCAAAATACGAGTTTATTATGGATATGCTTAAAGATAGATGCACCAGTGGTCTAGTGGTAGAATAGTACCCTACCACGGTATAGACCCGAGTGTTCGATGGTGCATCTTGAAGATTAACTATTTGATTATTAATGCATTATTTTCAAACTTCATTTAAATTTATAGATTTCACGAGTAGCACTAGCTTCGGAAGAACTGCATAACCAAAATACGAGTACCTTATGGATATGCCTATTCTCGGTTGGTGCATCTTAAAGATTAGCTATGATGATATTAGTCCATAATACTCAAAGTTGGGTTTTACCACCCTGCCACAGTACAGACTCGAGTTTGATTCACGGTTGGTGCATCTTAAAGATTAGCTATGATGATATTAGTCCATGCTCAAACTTGGGTTTGTCACAATATTATTTAAATTTATAGATTTCACAAGTAGAACTATCCAGTTTTTTTTTCTTCTAAATCAAGAGGTGAGACTAAAAGTTAAGGGCTTCAGAAGAACTGCATGACCAAAATACGAGTAAGTTATGAATATGTCTACTGGTAGATGCACCACTGGTCTAGTGATAGAATGGTACCCTTCCACGATACAGACTAGAGTTCGATTCTCGGCTCTTGCATCTTGAATGAAGTTTAGATATGATGATAATTAGTGCATAATGTTCAAACTTCGGTTTGTTTCAATATATCATTAAATTTATAGATTTCACGAGTAGCACTATGGAGCTTTTTTTTTTTAAATCGCAAGGTGAAGCTATAAGTTGGGCTTCGGAAGAACTGCATGATCAAAATACGAGTACATTATGGATATGCCCAAAGGTACATGCACTAGTGGTCTAGTGGTAGAAATAGTACCCTTCCACAATACAGACCAGAGTTTGATTCTCGGTTGGTGCATCAGATTAGCAATGATGATAATAGTGCATAATGTTCGAACTTGGTTTTTTCATAATATCCACAAGTAGCACTATCGAGCTTTTTGTTTTTCAATCAAGAGGTGAAACTAAAAGTTATGTATATGCCCAAAGTACATGCACTACTGGTCTAGTGGTAGAATAGTACCTTGCCACGATAAAGACCCAAGTTTGATTCTCTGCTGGTGCATCTTGAACATTAGCTATGATGATATTCGTGCATAATGTTCAAACATCGGTTTGTTACAGTATCATTTAAATTTATAGATTTCACGAGTAGCACTATGGAGCCTTATTTTTTAAATCGAGTGGTGGAACTAAAAGTTAAGGTCTTCAGAAGAACAGCATTACCAAAATACGAGTCCATTATGGATATGCCTAAAGGTAGATGCACTAGTGGTCTAGTGGTGTTATAGTACCCTGCCACGGTATAGACTCAAGTTAGATTCTCGGCTGGTACATCTTGAAGATTTTCTATGATGATATTACTGCATAATTTTCAAACTTAGGTTTGTCACAATATCATTTAAATTTATAGATTTCACGAGTTTAAGGGCTTCGTAACAACTGCATGACAAAAATACGAGTATGTTATGGATGTGCCTAAAGGTAGTCTAGTGGTAGAGTAATACCCTGCCACAGTATAGACCCGAGTTCAATATTCTTGACTGTTGCATCTTGAAGATTAGCTATCGATGATAATAGTGCATAATGTTCAAACTTGTGTCTTTTTACACTATATATCATTTAAATTTATAGATTTCACAAGTACCACTATCGAGCCTTT